TAGTTGGAAAGCAATCGTTTAATCAATGTCTCTTTTGTTCCAGAAAAGTTGGAGAAATAGCTGTAACAATGAATACGGAGTATTATCAAGAGATGCATGCAGGATTCAACGGAACATCTTCCTGCGGGACGTCTGACTGCCAGAGAAGGTAGGATTATTCATTTAACTTTGTATAAAAGCTTTCCTTTTTAAAAACGCTGCACCTGTTTTGACTTTGTTCGGGGAATTTGTGGGACAAGTTAAATAGATTCTTCCCGAAGCTCTGCTGACGTACGGTAAAAATTTACACAACTAGACACACACATTTCATTCGCCTGGAGATATTAGTTTTTGTCCCATTCGAACGGTGGAACGTCTTAAGCTCGTTTGTTTTAATGCCCCCGAGGCTTTAACGGATTAAATTAAGCGACAGATAAGAAAAGAAACGGAGGGACTTGCGAACACTTTTGTTTGATTTTCTTTTCTCTGTCGATATAAATCTGTTTTATATACATACAAAGGTAGTGGGTGCCGCGATCGAACGCTATTAGATGTTTTGATACGGCACATAAATTTTATAAGGTCTACAGGTTTCTAATTTAAGTCACGTCAGTTGGTGATGAGAGCTTTTTATGATGTGTCACGAAAAGAAATGGAATTATGTGGGATTAGATCGCTGGGTGTGATCTTAAAATACCGAAAAATTGATGAATTTTTATGAATTAATCATAAAAAAATAACAGAGAGATTCCGATGAAAGACATTTATATTCAAAAGTATCCTTACAGAATTTAAAGTTCATTAGGAGAATAGTTTGGGAGATGTATACGTGTGAAAAAATGCCTAATCAAAGTATAGGGAAATATTCTTAATTAAGCAGTGGTGCTGTCCTCGCACGTACCCTATAGTTTCAACCTCCTTAAGACAATTGAACTAACGTATTTTATTTATTTTAAAGTTTAATTTCTTAAGTTACCTATTTAAAAAGAAAAATCCATTTCTAATTTTCAAATATTTTCGAAATGCGTAGACCTTAACTGAATGAAATGATTTTGATGTTGTTTGAACGTATTTAATCATTTAGATGATATGATCTATTCTTTTACGTAACATTTTCCTATTAAGTTTGTCCATTTTTATTTATTTGAATTACCTCCATGCACGTATATTATTTAATATGAATTTAAAAGGATGATGAGTTCTTGTTTCGTGATCATAACAATATACATTGATAATATTAATTCGACGGATTAAATGACGGCCTCCGTATGAAAATTAAGACTCTCACCCTCTGAGAGGCAGCTCATCCTTTTGTTATTGTCGTTTTTTCGGTGGTGGTCTGTACGAAAGTGGCTGTTCACTTGTAGCTCGCTCGAGGCGTTGCTGTAGACGTAGGGGTCGTGGGGGTTCTTTCTCCGTCGCGTTATCAACCTCGTGGCAAAGTCGCAGCAACTTTGAAGGGTTTTCTTAAACGCGACGCGGAATTCGCGGTTGAAATAGGCGTAAATGAGAGGGTTGAGGGCTGAGTTGAAATAGCCTACCCAGAAAACTAATGTCACTACTTCAGGAGGGTTGTAGCACGCTTCTGCGCATAAGCTGGTAATCACGTACCTGAAAAAGAAAGAGAACTTTTACAATCATACTGACTAACACCTAATTATGAGAGAATATTGACATATACTGATATCGCTGGGTCGATCAAAATGGCAAAGTCCGCAATAATTTATCTGCGAGAATGGACTTCTTGTTTCTTGTTTCGACTGTAGTCATTTGCGGTGTTTTGAACACACCCTTGTTAAGTTCGTAAATTCTTCATACTTCATACTTCTATGCTCACGAATGATTAATTGAGAAATCAGAAAAAGATTATTAAAGGTGTATGTTTGGAGCGTGGCGCCGTAGGGGTGCGAAACATTAACGGTGGGTGCGGCGGAAAGTGTGGTTACAAGCGAATAATGAGGATACCGTGAATAAAGAAGGTTAGAAATGAAGAGGTATTAGAAAGAATAGGAGAATAGAAGAGTATGGAAGTCAAGAAATAGGCGTGTTAGGTTGGTACGACACCTTCTCAGGCATGAAGGTCTGGTTAGAGACATAGTAGAGGCAGAAACAGGAGTTAAGAGGAGTAGAGGTAGACCTAGATTAGATTAGTGTTCGCAAATAGTTAAGGATATGGGATGTTCTAGTTTTAGGAAAATGCAAAGATTAGCTCAGGATAGGAAAGAGTGGAGGTGCGTGTCCAACCAGTCTTAGGGTTGACGACGTTATGATGNAACGTGGTAAACTATATCCTCGATTTTTATTACATAGGACCTACAGGCGAAGTTAGACCCGAATATAGGGATATTTTATTTTGTCTCTATATTTTAACCATGTGTTATGCAGACATAGAAACAAAGAACTATTGTAGACCCTTTTGTGGTAAAATTTCTTTAGTGTTAAAATCTAGTAAAGTAAACTGGAAATTTTAAATATAAAAAAATATTTCGTACCAAGAGAAGAATATATTAAAGTTCCTTCAAATAAAGTCACCGAAAGTAACAATTTTTCGTCTAGTCTTGAATATATGGTCTTGGTTTCGTTCGGTCTTTGCCTTGCTAGTAAAAAGACAGTGTTGGAATATGCATGGCCAAGACCAAGATCAATTTTATTTATTACTAGCTAGGGTTTAGGCTAATTTTTAGAGAAGCATCTACCTTGAAAGTGAGACTCGAGTCTCCGTCTCTCATCGAGTCTCCGTCTCTTATCGAGTCTCTTTGGTGTCGTTGAGAGAGACTGTCGAGAGACTGTCAAAAAAACTGTTTAGCGTCTCTGAACGAGAGACTCGAATCGCTCATAGAATGATCCTCATTTCGTATCCA